CTTACGGTTGATGATAAAGGGATCTATAATGGTACCTTTAAGGGGCTCCTTTAAGGGATCTATAGGGTTTTAGGGTGTAGGGTTTAGGGTGATGATATAAATCCTGCACTACCGTAAGAACCCTAAACTATGGGAATTATGGTATATTCCTTATTCTGGGTAGTGCAGGAATTATATCATCAACCGTACCATTATGGCATTAGGCCCTACAAGACCATCCCCACTCTGGTGTTGGAAACCTAATTCCAGAATAGTAGTGTATATGGACCCTTGGTTATAGACAGCATTAAGGTCTATGCTTTCACAGAAGCCTCGCTATGGCACATGTGAGGTAAGCTTGTATTTTAAGTAGGGGGAGGGCTCAAGCTTGTGCAGACAAGTTGGGCGTTTAGGCTTTTAGGCGATTTTGCGCGGCTGCTCCCGGGCTTTTAATATAATTTGATGTGGTTGAGATCTTGCATTTGCGGCTTACACATACTTATGTGGCGCCTTGAAAGATGTTGCGGCCCGCAGCTTGTGCACACTTTAGGGCTTGGGGTTTACAGCTTTTGGGACCAAGCTGCCTCCTCAAGTAGATTTTTGGCAGACTTGCGATTTTTGAAAGCCCCTTCAACGGAGGTTTGGGCACGTTGGCGAGCGTGGGTTACATTGATGAAGATTCCCTAAAACACGGCTCCAAATATCCCCAAAGCCTCTATATAGCATGGTCTTTAGGTCTAAAGTGCTTAAAGCCTCAGTGCAAGGGTCCAGGTACCTTCAAAGTACATACGTTTTGAGATTGGATGGCTAGGGGTCCTTCACTATGTGGGTCTATGCCGGCATACCTGCTCGTTGAATGAACAGGGTGATGCGTACCTGTACCGATAGAACTGATAGCAGGTCAGCTCTTCAAGATGATGCTTGGAGTTCAGGGGACATCATGCACCAAACTTGAATCACAAGAGAAAACTCGAGCCAAACCGAATTCCCAAAAACCGCGGGTCTAGGGCAAACCCTGAAGTCTCTGCGGTAGCTCATAACCTGAAGACTAACATCAAGCTCATGCCCGAAATCCTGAACTTAGTAAACCCTAAACCTGTTGGATAGGGTCCATCCACTAAGGTATAACCATGAAAATAAACATCAAATCTAGGGGACTGAAGGATTGAATGTTGGTGGTTTCTGTACTGAATGCACAGGGTTATGAGGGAATCGTGGGGGATGCTATCACTTCTTAAACCCTAAACCCTAAACCCCAAACCGAACTTATTTAGGGCCCTATCTTAGCCGCTCCGCGTCTGTTGAGCCAAGGAGCAGATTTACCAGAAGTTGGACGTAGCCTTGGACCATGCCCCCTTTCCTTAGCGGGATCCGTATAACCTAAACTCAAAACCCTAAACCCTAAACCCTGAACCCCGTTAGAGAGTCTTACAGATGTTGTTAGGGTTGTATGGGGGCTCAGGGCTTGCGGGAACTTGGTGCCGGAATCTCAAACGCCTTTTTCGAGCAAACCTAGGGTGACCAAGGGGGGAAATTTTCAAGGAAAATGAACCTTTTCTGAGGGCATATCCCGTTCTGAAAGGTACATTGGTTACTCTAGGTACTCTATTCACTAAACCCCATTCTCAGGATCCTCTCCAGCCACCACCTGCTTCAAGCCACCTGCCTCCAGCCACCTACTTCCAGCCACGTTGGTATCGCTACCGAACCGAACCGAAAGGCCGCAATACTGGCAGTACATATACCGCTAAATACCGCATACGTACCGGTATCGACCGAACCGCGCGATTACAACCATGTTTATGAGTTCATCTAGAGTCTAGAGATCCGCTCCCTACGTCTCACATGTGTCAGGAGGTTAAGGGGTTCTCTGCATGGTCGCTCGGGCTGCTTCGATGGTAGAGGCTTCGGGTTAGGGTTCAGGGTTTAGGGTTTCTCGTCAACGTTGGGAAGCCCTCGTGTCTTTTGTCATATGATAATGGCGGCATGATAATGGCCTGAATAGCTAGCAATCCTGTTCTTTAGGGTTTCTGCAATTTCAGCAGTATGCAACAAAACCCCGAAACCCTTTTCCGGTTTGAGGAGCCTAGTTAACAGCTGTAAAAACCTAAATCTGTGTCTAGTTGAGCCTGGGTCTCAGGGTTCTCACATCACAGGCCGAACCCAGGTCTCCAACCCGCAACCCTTCCAGCGAGGTAGGGTCTATAGTGTTAGAGTTTGGGGTTTAGGGCTTAGGGCTTATAGTGTTAGAGTTTGGGGTTTAGGGCTTATAGTGTTAGAGTTTGGGGTTTAAGGCTTAGGGCTCATAGTGTTAGAGTTTGGGGTTAAGTTAAGGGCTTAGGGCTTATAGTGTTAGAGTTTGGGGTTAAGTTAAGGGTTCAGGGCTTATAGTGTTAGAGTTTGGGATGTATGGTACCGCCGCCGTCCCTGAATTTGCTTGAGTCGAAGGTTCATGTACAGCTTTCAGCAGATAGGAACACTGAGCCCCCAGACCCCAAAATGCAACATTTGTCAGGTAACCTTTCCTTGCTGAGGACTTTTAAGCACATATATGTACTTGGAGGTTCATGGAACTTACTAAGTACAGTTATAAGTACCTTAACTGGGGTTATAACCAATTATAAGTATGGTTACCATATTCATAACCCTAGTTACTAAGTCCCATGAGCCTCTATGAGGAGCCCTTACGGCCAACATGTGCAGTTCACAGGAACGTGGACCCTTAAGGGATTGTGGTAGGGTTGCTTAATTTTGGTACCCTAAGGGTCCACATATACTACCATTATGGAACTAGGTCCCAAAAGACCATCCCTGTTATGGTTTTGGGGACCTAATTCCACAATGGTAGTACATGTGGACCCTCTGGGGTACATAAGCCTGCAATTCTCGGTTCCTGATGCTCAGCTACGTGGACCAAGTGTTACCTATCTGTATCCCCATGGCGCTACAAAACAGTAGGTTGTGACCCCTTAGTAAAAGGGTCTAACAGTCCCCAAACAGCAGGGTTTTGGATCCCAAAGTATACCCTAAAACACCAAAACCCCAAACCCTAAAGATCCCTTATAGGAGCCCGTTAAAGGGAACCCCTATAGATCCCTTTAAAGGAAGCTAATCTCAAGTGTTACCTATACCCAATGGCTTCAGATCTGGTGTCAAAACCCAAAACCCTATCAGTCCCCTATAGGAGCCGTTGAGGGAACCCTTTTAAAGGAGCCCCTAAACCCCAAGAAGCCCTTTAAGAGTTCCCAGATCTGGTGTAGGTCCCTTATAGGAGCCCTTAAGGGAACCCTTTTAAAGGAGCCCCTTAAACCCCAAGAAACCCTTCACTAGGCTGTTCAGTAACCCACTGGGAAAAGTGTATACTTGTTTAGGCTTCTTATTTGATAATCGGAACCCAAAGTACCACTGAACAGCCTGGTTTAAGAAATTAAGAGTTCCCAGATCCGGTGTAGGTCCCTTACAGGAACCCTTAAGGGGGCCCTTTTAAAGGAGCCCCTAAACCCCAAGAAACCCTTTATTTAAGAGTTCCCAGATCGGGTGTCTTCCGCATATCCAGGTGCTTCGCCTCCTGATCTTCAATGAGAGGCCGCCTCGGTTCGGGGTCCCTTTAAAGGCCTCCAAAGGCTCCTTAAAAGGATCTTTCGGGTTCCTTAAAGGGATCTATAGGGGTTTAGGGGTTTAGGGTTTAGGGTCTACTTAAATGATCATGGGACTTAGTAACTAGGGTTTTAAGGGTTTCATTTAAGGGTCTAGGGTTTAGGGTCTACTGAAAGGATCATGGGGCTTAGTAATTCGGGTTATAAATAATGTAACCACATATAATTACTTATAGCAGCAATTAACGCTAAGGTACATATATCCTTACTTACTACATCCCATGACTCTCCAAGTAAGGACTAAATGAGCCTTAAAAGTAAGGGCCATGTACCCCTATGCTGTAACCACCTATACTTATGGTGTATGAACCTCAAAACCGTCCCTCGACCCTAAGGCAGGAGCAGGCTGTAGTGTTTACACTAAACCCTAAACCCAAACCCTAAACCCTACACCCTACACCCTAAACCCTACACCGTAAACCCTGCACCCTACACCCTAAACCCTGCACCCTACACCCTAAACCCTGCACCCTACACCCTAAACCCTTAACCCTGCACCCTAAACCGTTTAGGAGTTCTTTTTCGAGCCTCGGGCTGAAATACTTCTATGGGGGGAAACTCCGAAAAGAGGGGACCCTAATACTGCTGATGGACAAAATCCTGCATTACTCATTACCCTGGGCATCAAAATAGCCCAAAAGCCTTATATATTAAGGTCTTTGGGCCCAAAAGCCTGAATATATGAGCACTTAGATGCCTAGGGTTATAAGGAATATACCATAGTTCCCATAGTTTAGAGGCCTTAGGGTCATGCAGGATTTTGTCCATCAGCAGTATGGGTGGTTGTCAAAATTAGGATCCCTTGTTGCGTCCCTAATATAATAGGGCACCTATAATGTTTATGGTACCCAAAAGGGCGGGCCCCTAATATTGACAACTACCCACATCGTACCCTAAATAGTAGGATCCAAAAAAATAAGGACCCCAAATACAGTACCCCCTAATTTTCGGAAACTCCCAACCCGCCTGCCCCGGCTCCCGCCGGAGGCCTATCCTGGTTTAGGGTTTGGGGTTCAGGGTCGTTTACCCTAAGGCTCAAAATGGCCCAAAAGCCTCATATAATATGGTCTTTAGGCCCAAAAGCCTTAAACTATGAGTCCTTAGAGCCTAAGGGTTTAGGGTTTAGGGGAGGGTTTAGGCAAGATTTTTGACTGGCCTGTCCTAGACGCCAACCCTGGCTTGCGGTTTAGGGTTTAGGGTTTAGGGTTTAGGGTTGTAGGTCTTCCAGGTATTCGTATCCAAGTGGTGCTAAATCTACTGGTTACAAAATGATCCCCTAATTTTCGCAGGCTTTCGCTCCAAACACTTCTTTAGGGAATGGTGTCCTACAGCGCCAGCAACACCAAAAACCCAAGAATCTTAGATCTATCCCCTCATTCGCCAGAGGTGCAGGTACTCGTTGAACCAATAGTTCTGGCGGTCACATTGCCAAAGCATGCGCTGGCAGCAGACGCCGTTTTGAAAAATGTCTATCCTGAGCTGGTTTTGGGCTTAAGGTTGCTGAACGGGTATACAGTATTGTAAGCATACCTGACGGAAGAAACATATCTAACGTAGAGCCCGAACCGATTGAAGCCTCAAACTGCAACAATGTCCCACATAGGGGCCTTACTAATTGGAACTATATGTATACTATAGTAAGAAGTAAGACAACAAAGTCATCATCATGAAGCCGAAGGATAAATTTAAGTTACTGTACAGGTCCATCTCTAAGCTCGTACTACACCGTGAAATCCTGCTGGGCTTAGAAACCAGACGCTTTCACTTTGGTTAGCTACAGCATACCCTGAACCCTAAACGACTGTTCTACTGCCAAGGATCCTATAACTAACCGAACCTTGAACTCTATCACTATCCCAAGGGCTCCAAGTATACTAGTAGTACCTACATGGTTGTCTACAGTCTCTATAAATGGTACCCATTCTTCGGGCTATTGTGTGCCCCAAAGTATCGACCTACAAAACTTAAGATCTAAACCCTGAAATCTGTATCAACAACGTCGAAGGTTTGCTTCCAAGAACTTACAATGTTTCGGGGTACACTGTATACGATTCGGGCTTTGGTTCCAAAGTTTACGATTTCGGGTGAACTACAGACCCCCTAGCATTGTTGATGCGAATCTCTAAGGCTCCATGTACTCATGCAGTCAGTATGCCGAGGCCCTAAAAGAACGTTAAAAGGAATCTCGGCAAGAACAAACCCTAAACCAGAGTACTAGCTACTCACGCCGAGGTGAAAGCTGCAAAATTGGAACGGGATCTTGGATGGGTTCCTGGTCCATGAGGTTGTATGAAGAGTTTGACACGCTTTACGGGACTTCTGATACGGGCCTGAGAAATTTGTATATGGCCTTGGGGTATAGTAGACGGTTGTCCTGATGCGCTACAGGAACAGCAGGGGAATCACACAAGTAGTCTTCCTTCCAACATGTCCCCAAACCCTAAACCCTCAACAGACCCTAAACCCTAAACCCAAAACCCTAAACCCAACAACCTAAACCCTAAACCCAAGACCCAAACCCTAAACCCTCAAGACGAAAATAAATAGAAATTGTGTGTTTTCGAAACCAGCACAACCTTTCATCAATTTCAAGGCGTTTCGCTAAACGAGCTGCGTGCAGCGCACCCCCACGCCCCAGCCCCCAGCCCAAGCAGGCTCCCAAAATCAACCAAAGCAAAACCGAAACCGGCAAAACCCCCTCCCAGCCCCCAGCCCCCAGCCCAGCCCCCAGCCCCCAGCCCAGCCCCCCCATGCCCCAGCCCGCAGCCCAGCCCCCAACCCCCAGCCCCCAGCCCAGCAGCCCCCAGCAGCCCCCAGCAGCACCCAGCAGCACCCAGCAGCACCCAGCAGCACCCAGCAGCACCCAGCAGAAGCCCTAGCCGGTCGCCCAGCCGACCCAGCCCAGCCAATTCCAAATGCCAAAGCAAAAAACAAAAAAAATCTGTCAAAACTTTCGGTCAAAACCCCGGGCCCAAACCCTATACAATTTCTATAAACCCTAAAACCTAAAACCCTAAACTTAGAGCTTCAGGGCTGGGGTACCTCCACAACCATCCCCTTAAACACCCTGAAACACGAACTCAGGGTGGAGGGTTAAGGGTTCATACTACCTGGAGGCTCATACCCTACCCGTTCTTTTGGAGACCTAGTTTTATGATTAGGAGCTGTTGTATGGAAAAGTAGATACCCAAATAACGGAGTAGGGTATGAGCCCAACGTAAGGTAAACCCCTTCACACGACTGTCAGGTCTCGTGTTTGCGGCCGCCACGGAATACATTGCGGCCAGCTGAGAAGACGATCCTTGTGGCACGGTCACCTGGAGCAGAAAACTCTGTGGCACGGACATATCTGAGACGCCTACGGTCTAAATTCCTAAACCCTAAACCCTAATGCCTGGGCCAAAACCCTAACCCAAACCCTCCACCCCTGCCCTAAACCCGCAAATGCAACTAAGGCCAGATCTGAGATCTCGTTTACCCTACGGGCCACTGTAAGCCTCAACCACAGTAGTATCAGTAGTACATTTCTAGTACGCGAGAGCTCCTCCAAAGGTTCCGGGTATCGGATCTTAAACTTCTGGCACAGGTAGTTCAGGACCCCTCAGTTACAGGGCATTGGTATAATTGCGGTATTAAAGCAAGCAGCTGGAGCCTCAGGTACACCTGACTCAAAAGCTACCAACCCAAGCCAGCAACAAAAAGCCGCCAGGATACGAAGATGATTGGAAAGACCGAGAGGGCAAGTACGCCGACTTGCGGTGACACAGTAAATGCCTTGGAGGTGGGAGTTTCAGGGTTTACGGCCTTATGGTTTACCCAAAGGGTCCTATGTAACCATATAGTAGAATGTAAGGCTTCCATATTAGGAACTACTATTATGACTTAGGGAAGTATCCCCCATAGGAGTACATAGGACCCTTTAGGTTAGGGTTTTTGGACTGAGGGTTTGAGGGTTTCAGGGCATGGCGTTTTAAAGCTGAATGATCCTTTCTCTTTGACTACGAGGAGATACTGGCATGGCTTGATGTTAGATGTGTTCTTCATCACGGTTTCCTGTAAGCATGGGCATGTATTTTTGTGTACGTAGAACCAAGATCCTACTGATTGGTGTCAGGACTTAGCAATTTAGGTCATCATCCATCCATCCATGCATCCATGCATCCATCCATTCATCCATCCATCCAGCCAGCCAGCCGACCAGCCATCTATCCTTGTACATGCGTACCAACAAGCAAACAAACACTTGTACATACGAACATACAAGCATATATGCCTACGCACATACATATACACGTATGTCTTCATGCACAGCCATTCTAAGGAATAGTAACGTATGCATGGAGGGCACAGCAGGGTGACATCATTGCGATCTTGCCTTAAGGCTTCACATAACCCAACAGTATCTACCATGACATCTACAGTGCCTTGACCACACCTAAATGTCAACAAACTTGGAATAAGAAACATGCCTGAAGTCAGATTATGGACTCTTAAGACAATGAGCTCCTGGGGAACCATCTGCAGAAAGTCTACAAGTTGCGGTAAGCTCTTGGCTGCCTGCAGCCCCACTATATGCTGCTTTAGTTGCAAGGCCCTGAAGCTCTGAACCTCTAAACCCTGGAACCCCGAAGCCCAAGCCCCTCCCGACACTCTAAACTCACCCAAGTCAGACTATGCTCCCACACGTTGGGTCGACATTCAAGCGGCATAAACGATGGTGATCAGCACCCGTGAGAGCGGAGACAGCAAGGACCACATGATGCCTTCGTCTTAAGTCTAAAGATGTAAGGTTCAGGACTTAGCTAAGGTCCGCTTGCTACAGGCATCCGTTTGAGGAATGAATCAGCATGAGTTTAGGGTTTAGGGCTCCCGCTTTGTCAGTACAGCAAGTAAGGTTACATGCAAGATATTCATGATTTGGCCAATTTGTGCATCTTTAGTTGAACCGCTATATCCATGGGCAGGAATGTAACGATTCTAATGACCATTGGACTGTCTTTAGGGCTTTGGACTGGGGTTTTCAGGGCTCAAGGCTTCACGTGGGGGTGAGGTGCAACGAGAACAAGTATACACTTGGCTGCACTCTGAAAAGTTCAACTTTTAATTAGCCTCCTTATTATAGTTCACATAGAAACCCAAAGAGCTACCGTCCCAAGAGCCAACCAGAAGAACCCAAGGGAATTCAAGGGAAGGTTGGGATCTTCAAAGCAGCGCATAGGCCTTAAGCCTTAGGCTTCAAAACCATAAACCCTAAACTCTCAAAGGAAACCTAGAAGGGTTTAAACCCCTCAAGAAACTCAAGCGTTAAGCCTTAAAGGAACCCCCGAAGGCCCTAAAAACCTTAATAAAACTCTTCAAGGGACTCTTCAGCCTCAAGAAGGAACCCTAAACACTAAACCCTAAACCCTAAACCCTAAAAACCGAACCATGGCCTGTCCAGAGGTCCTGCAGCCGGAGGATGTCCGACGCGAAGGTTGCGTTGATGGAACCCGAGCCGTAGGTCCTTGGCTTGCTTAGGGTTCAGGGTTTTAGGGTTTAAGGGTTTAGGGTTTAGGGGTTTAAGTTTAAGGGTTTATTGTTCCGTGGTTTTTAGGGTTTAGGCTTTAGGGTTTTCGTGTTCAGGGGTTTGGGGCTGAGCGGTTTCGGATTCCGAAGGTCCTTGCCCCAAAGGTCCAAAGGAGCCAATAACAAGGTACTTGGGTTTAGGATAATAGGTATATAGATTCAATTTGGAAGAGTATATGATTTTACCCCTGGGGTTGGCTTTCCGAAGGCTCAAGGCTCTGTGCCCATATAGTATATACTCGGGCGTTGAATCGAAGTACCTATATAGGAGCCTCCTTCAGGCCTAAGTATATACTTTATTTCTAGATACTAGACCTAAGAGTAACCTAGGAATAAAAAGGGTGCCCTTTTTGCTTTTAAGGGGCTTGTACGGGAACCTGAACCCTAAAAAAGGGAATAAGGGCCTACTCTGAGTCCTAGGATAGGTATTACATGGGGCCTTAGGGTTGGGGTAACCTTTTGAGGCTGTGTATCCCTAGGCATCCAAGGACTCATATATTAAGGCTTTTGGGCCCAAAGACCATACTATATAAGGCTTTTGGGCTATTTTGATGCCCAGGGTATCTAGGGTTCCTCCATGGGATCCTGGTGCAGGAGTCTTTTTACAGGTTTCCAAGTGTCCGGATGAGGCTTCCTGGAATGGTTTTGGGGGTTTAGGGTTTATGGTTTATGGTTTAGGATTATTCTTATATGTTTTTTTTGGTGCTCGGCTTAGGCTTCCTGGAACGGTCTTGGGGGTTTAGGGTTTATGGTTTAGGATTCCGTGGAGGCCTTTTTGGCTTTGGGGTTCCTTTAGAGATTAGGGCTGGGGACTCCTTTTCGCGGCTTTGGGCCTTAGGGTTTATGCAGTGGTTTTGGCTTTGCGGTTACTGCAAGGGTTTATGGGTGTGGGGTCTAGGGTTAGGATTTAGAGTTTCGTGGAATTTAAAGGTGTAGGGTTGGGAGTTTAGTGTTTAGGGTTTGAAGGTTTATTCAAGCGTTCACACAAGGGCTCTTCATTGATTAGGGGTTCTAGGGATTTAGGACCCTAAACCCTAAACCCTAAACCGAGCCTTATGATGCTCTAGGGTCAGTGCTTAGAGGCTGAAGGGCGTTATGCCCAGGGCTGTTTTGGTGTTCTTCGGATTGAACGGATTCAGATTTTAGGATCTCTCTAGTTTTAGATTTTAGACCTTGGGTGGAACGGTTGATGGACAAAATCCTGCATGACCCATAACCCTAAGGGTCCATGTACCTAAATAGTATATACATTGGCCTTAAAGTACTCCCTATATGGGTACATTGGGCCCAAAGTATATACTATTTGGGTACATGGACCCTTAGGGTAATAAGGAATATATGGAAATTATGGTATATTCCTTATTATGGGTCATGCAGGATTTTGTCCATCAGCCGAAGTATTCAAGTTTCACCAAGAAGTATTCAAGTTTCACCAATTGTAAATCGTCAGATCGTGCGGTTAAGAGCTTCAAGGCTTTCGGGGTCTACCTGTGGCTCCATGAGCTACTATTCTGTAAGGTTTGAGGTTGCAGCAGAGTCTAGACCTAAGAGTAACCTAGGAATAAAAAGGGTGCCCTTTTTGCTTTTAAGGGGCTTGTAAGGGAACCTGAACCCTAAAAAAGGGAATAAGGGCCTACTCTGAGTCCTAGGAGTTTAGAAACCCTATACCCTGAACCCTAAACCCTAAACCCTAAACCGCACCCTAAACCCTATACCCTGAACCCTGGAGGCCGAGGTACGCAGCCCCCTTGGCACTCATCGCCAGCATCCTCGAGGAGAGTGCTGCAGAATTACTCGAAGGGTGCATCAAAACCTGTGACAATACCTCACAGTGTAAAGTAATCAATCTTCTTAGAGGCTTCCAGAAAGTTGCGGCTTAGAGCATAAGGGTCCAACATAGCCACACAGAACATACTTAATCCCCAAAATGCCTAGGTATATGCACCTTCGTAAAGCCAACATATAAACACTGTTTCAACACATACCCAGACCGAAAAAAAACAGCGAACCCCAGTCCATACGATCAAGATACGGAAATACACCCTGAAAGCTTGATCTCCCCAATGCCACAAGCCAACCGGCTTTTCACCCCCAAGATCTCTACTTCACAGTTCATTGGACACAGTAAATACCATCCCAAGAGCATGGGTACCTCAATTCGGGTTGTAAGTCATTACAAAAGTATGGGTACCTTACTAAAAACCCTAAAGTTACTAAGTCCCGTGAACCTCTAAGTACAGTCATGTGGCGGCATGAAACAACTGCCAATGCTATCCCCTAAGGTTCCTCCGTATGGCATATTCAACGGTTGAAACCATGGGCCCCTAGTATGGGCCCTTAACCCTGGGATCGATAAATACCTACTATATACCCTATACAGACTGTTAAGGGCCCCTAGAATTCCCCCAACAAGGCCTAAGGGTCCATATTAGGGGCACATACTTCTAACCTTAGACCCATACCCTCCAAGACCCTGGTCCAAGTATCGAGGCCCCTGTGTTACACACTCAGAAACGCTTTATACCAATAGTAACCCTTACATACTCTAAACACCAAACCCTCAAAGGAACCGGCTAAAGGGGGCCACATTTTGGTTATTCACGGCCCTATAGTAGTTATTTTGTGCAGTAGATTCTGGACGAGAGAATTAAATCTCACGGCTTGAGCTTTAGGTTTACGGCCTAAGCTTTCGGGTTCTAGGTTCCTTGGCTGACTTCTGAGCCCCTCCTAAATGTTAAACTTTTAGCCGCCTTCTTTTTTCTAGCTCATATAGACACCCAAAAAGTTACAGTCCTAACAGCCAACCAGAAGAACGTCAAGATTCAGGGCTCATATACTTACTACCCCCATAAGCCGATTCCTAACAAACTATAAGAACCCAACAAGTTTAAAGGTTAGCTATTGGGGATCTACGTACATACGGCATACGGTTTAGAACCCTGGTGCTCTTCGTGACCCCTGTCGTCTACACGAGGGTCTTTCCTCCTCCACGGGTTTAGGGTTTAGGGTTTATCAACAGGGTTTATAGTTAACCCCATAAAGTTGGAAACCTGATTCAGGCCAAATAGTGCCGGGATCCCCTGTTCATTACTCCTGGGGGTTGAGCTATGGGGCTTAGAACTTTTGGACTTCTACTGTATATATGGGGTTTAGAGTTTAGGATTTAGAGTTTAGGATTTAGGATACAGCCTTGCGACCCCTGACCTGACAAGTGCGATCGGCAACGGCTCCAAACATTCATATGCCTAAATACCCTATGCTTCCGGGGACCTTGGTATTCGGTCCTTAAGGGGTCCAGGGCCGTAACTAACCCTGTGCCTCCAAGGACATTATAGAAACTATAATGTCCCTGGAAGCACAGGGTTAACGATCGAAAGTAACATGGGAATTTCAGAGTATCAAGGACCCTTACTCAAACAGCAGGATCCCCACTGATTACACTGCATGTTTCACAGCCAAGCATCTTCTCTGCCACCCGCACCTGCACCGAAGAAGTACCTGCAACACATGCTGCATTCTACACCCCGAGCCTCCATAGTTCATTCATTGCCCCCCAAAAAAGCCCAGAGACGTATCCATCGTTTAGGGTTTAGGGTTTTAGGATTTAGGGTTCACGAAAAGCCCTGAAGTCGAATCATCTTGTAGTCACTAACTTGGCGCGAAGGGCAGTGCTGCTAACCCCTAGGCTCTACGGACTCATATCTTAAGGCTTCTGGGCCCAAAGACCATACTATCACAAATGCTTCTGGGCTATTTTGAGCCTTAGGGTAAACCTTGGGGCCGCACTGACCCATGTAACCCTTACACTGTGAATCCCTGTATGGTATAGGAACCTTAAGGGTTTAGGGTCTAGGGGGCTCTCCCCGCTCCCCAAATCGGCAATTCGACCATTTCCCTGAGCCCGAACCCCTAATGCCTATATAGGGTTTCAGGTTGAAGGCTTGTTTAGGCCTAAGCTCGTTTAGGGTTATCTAACCCTAAGGCCCAAACTTACCCAAAAGCCTTACATAGTATGGTCGTTGGGCCCAGAAATTTTATGAGTCCCTAGAGCCTAAGGGTAAACCATGAACCCTAAAATCTAAACCCGAACCTCCCGACAAAGAAGAACCAAGAGGCTGCTCGACGAGGTGCAGTTCCGGACCCTACTGTAGGAGGCCTTAATAATTAGAATTGGGTTTTGGGGCCCAGTATAC